CCTAAACCCTAAACCCAAAAGGCCCCCCCCCCCCGGTCCAGGGTTTAGGGTTTATAGGGCCCAGGCTGTTCGCGAAGTTTCCGCGGCCGGTCGGTCGATCTTCTGGCAAAAGGGCTTCAGTTTAGGGTTTAGGGTTTAGGGTGCTTCCCCACAAACCCCCCCAAGTTCCCCTTCATAAATCCGCATGGTCTCTACTAGAGGGTACTGTTGATGATATAAATCCTGCATTACCTTAAGGACCCTAAACTACGGAAATTATTATGGTCTATTCCTTACTATGGGTAATGCAGGATCTATATCACCAACCGTATTTGGGGCAATTACACTGGAGGGAAGTTGCGGTGGTCTCGGAGAGCTCTAGGGTTTATGATCTTCCCCTCAGGGTTTAGGGTCAAGTCTAGGGCCGTCTAGGGTTTAGGATTTAAGGTTTACGGTTTAGGATTTAGGTGTTTAGGGTTTAGGGTTTAGGGTTTAAGGTTTGGGGTTTAGGGTTTAAGGTTTAGGATTTAATGTTTAGGGTTTGAGGAGTTGGGGTTTAAGGTTTAGGGTTTAGGGTTCAGCTTCCGAGTTGCAGCCTGAATCCTAAATGACGAAACTTCAGAAAGCAGAGTCAACTCGAAGGTTACCCTGCAGCTCCAAACGCCACAGAGAGGACAGTCCCCGGGCCAGGTGGGTTTCGGGTTTAGGATTGTAGGGTTTGGGGCCTTTGGGGTTTAGGGTTTAGGGCCCTTGGGGTTTACGAGTTTTTCCTGTTGGATTCACTTAAGGCTTGAACTTACATTAACCTTCATCGGACTGGTCGAATAGCTCAATAGCCGGCGGGGGAGTTGCCAATCTGCAGCAATAAAAAGGATCACGCAGACCAGATGCGTCTCCCTTTCGTCAACAGCAACACTGAATGCCTTGCAAGCTTTCAAGTCCGCTGCCAGCTCGTCTTACCTTTGCTTCGTGATTCTGTCGCGGTATATACTTGTTGAAGCTTTCATGCCGTGGGACACGGACAGGTCTCCACCAACCGGTCGCACCAACCAGCTGCACATGCCCCTAGCATGCAGGGCCGTCTAAACGGTAAGGACCTCGTGAAACAAGACCCTGGCCCGATGTTTCCCGGGAGGACTTGTGAGCTGGCTACTAAAAGGGTTTAGGGTTTAGGGTTTAGGGGCCTTAATAATTAGTATAGGGTTTTGGGGCTATAACCATAGTCGAAATCCTCCAATCGCCCAATACATGGCACTGTCGGAAAAGGGCATACTAGAACTGAAAACTTTGACACCGGCTAAACCCTTAACCCCGGTTTAGGGTTTCGGGTAATTAAACCATAGTACACAGCTCACGCCTGAAACCCCTCTAGCCCGAAACCCTCAGACTCCCTCATGCGAGGTGACACTCTTTACCCGATGCAGCTAAAGAAAACCTTGCAAAAAAACACCGCGACATTGCGCTAAACCCTGGACCCTTAACCAGTAAACGCTCTGTGAACCCAATAATCAAGCATCACTAAACCCTAAACCAGGCCCCCTATAAACCCGAAACCCGAAAACCCTTGACGAAGAAGAGACGCCAAAACCCTAAACCCTAAACCCTAAACGCGCCTGAGACTTCGCGAGCTTCTTGGCTGAGCTGATTTGCTTCCAGTCGCTGGAGTGCGACGTCTCAGGGAGCTACGAGAACCGAAACAGTGGTCCAGTTAGGGTTTAGTGTTTAGGGTTTAAGGTTTAGGGTCTAGGGTTTAGGGGCCAAGGGAAACAGTGGTCCAGATTTATAGAATGTCGGGTTCAGGGGTCAGAGTTTTGGGTGTCCAGGGTGTGGGGGGGGGATTACGGAAAGTTGTGTTGGATTCAGAAAACTGCTCGCACATGATACGGGTTGTAGTAGGGATCCATTTGACTCAGAGTCCGAGGATGTACAAGGACCCAGTTGTACTATTTTGATCTCTCTCTTTCTCTCTCTCTCTCTCTATCTCTCGCTCGCTCTTTCTCTGTACATATATCATTCATATTATATATATATATATAGAAATATAAATATTATATTCTGTTACATAGCACATACATACACACATCCATCCATCCCTCCCTCCCTCCTTCCCTCCCTCCGTCCGGCCGTCCGTCCGTTCGTCCACCCATCCACCCACCCATCCACCCACCCATCCACCCACCCATCCACCCATCCACCCATCCACCCATCCACCCATCCATCCATCCATCCATCCATCCATCCATCCATCCATCCATCCACCGATCCACCGATCCACCCATACATACATACATACATACATACATACATACATACAAACATACATACATGCATGCATACATACATAACATACATACATACATACATACATACATACATACATACATACATACATACATACGTACATACATACATACATACATACATATCATACATACATACATAACATACATACATACA